TTAACAAACATTGCCAGAGGGTGTAGAGTGCGGGGACAAGCGTCATAGTTGAAAGCCACCAACGCCATTCGGGGTGGGAACAGGCTGAAAACCTCTGTTTCATGCTACACACCCACCAAATGACCCTTTACATTTTGGGCAGTAGACGGTATTTTTTTTCCTTCTTTCGGGGGAGGTCTCGCTGTGAACTGAAGACAAAATTGCTTGTCTATATTGCCTTGGAAAAAAAACGTTACTTGTGTATCATTGCCCCAAGGTAGGACAAGTGTGTCAAGTCAGTCAGTGAGTTCATTGAGTAGAACAGAGAACAAGACTCTTATTTCTGCAATGAGGATCCTTTTGATGTACAAGTATACCCCCCGGACAGGATGCCTTACCTCAGTTTCAAGGTGTTACTTTTCATGATGATGAAATTAGAATTGTCTCCCTGAAAGTTATTCACCCTTTCTCCTTGTTCTAGGCAAGTTTTCCTGGCGATCCTCCATCATTTGAGACTTCATCACGACTCTTAGCGCTTTCTAAAATCTTTTGCACTTAAAGGAAATACTCCTTCAGGAGGCTCTATGTTTTAGCTCCAGAGGAAATGTCGAGTGGCTGCCTGTTGTGTGCTCTCCCTGGCTGCTATATGAGGCACTTCTTCTGTTTATGTGCACAGCCCATTCCTCCAGATGGTGAGCTGTGTTGCTGTGAGTCAGTATATAAAGCAAGCAGGAAGAGAAAGGTGTGATTTTACAGACTTTTAACAGGATCCATGCTACCAGAAACACTGGTTTCAGCATCTTAAAAACAGGCAACCTCCAATTAAGTCCCAGCAGGATAATGCATCACTGTCTCAGCATCATATACACTTTAATTGCCTTTACGAATCATAAATCTCATTTCAGTACATACCCTAAAGGAATAAGTACTAAGATAGTTTCCTATAACCTTTAAAAGTTAAATCATTTTTCTTGATTTAATGCTGAAAACATTTAGTCAGAGCAGGTGTCATTTTTCGGACATAATGGATATCTCACTTTGAAACAATCTTTACACACCACGTCTTGCTGATGGCCCTGACAACAACAAGTTCAAGTCATCTATTGTTAGCTTCTTCTGTAGATTTGATAGCTATGGTTGATGTTCCTTAGGGCTGTAAACTTGCTATCAACCAGAGAGGTAATTTACTACCCAGGAGTATACCTCACTTTATTTTCAGACACATTCGTAATGAACTATTTTATTTCTGACAGCTCCCTCTCTGGGGGGACATTTTGCCATTCTGTTTTTTAAAGAATGAGACATATAGAGAATAAACGTGTATGTATTTGTTGTTGTCCATCCGAAGAGGCCACTGAAACTCGCTGACTGAACTCACGACTGTTGACCTCCAAATATTGCACTACGGGATATTCTTATGGCATTGTGACTTTCCTTATTTCACATTGTGAGAGTAAAAAGAAAGAAAGAAAAAGAGTACATATGTGTATTTCTTTAAGAGAAGGATGCCTTCTATCTTCACACACACACAGACACACACCAGCCCGCCTAGTGTATTTCCCTCCTGGCTTTCCAATTTAAATGCAAATGTTCCCAAATCGGACTCCACAAAGACGCAGAGGCAAAATCATTTGACGCAGCGATGAATTATATATTTTAATTAAGCAGCCAAAAGAATCACGCCTATTCAGCCCTTTCCCCTCCAATAAGAAATGAATAAATAAATATGGAAGAAGGGAAGAAGAAGAAGTGAATAAATGGAAGGGTCAGGGGAGGGATGGATGGATGGATAAAGGGAGGAGGGTTTGTATTGAGTTTGTGTGATTGCAGCGCTAACCGCCCGTGGGCTGTCATTATGTGAGCGATCTGAAGCTGTCAGATTTCAAAACTGTATTGTTTGCTGATAGACAGGCTAAATACCCCCACAGCTTCAAGCATACGCGCATACACACTAGAGCGTTTGCACCCAGAGAATCCCAATGGCATGCAAACACAAAACACAAAAAACACACACACACACACACACACACACACACACACACACACACCATTTTGATTTTGATGGGCAAACCAGCACTTGAAGAGCAGAGATGGGGATTGTGATGCTCTGACAAGGGATGCAATTTTAATTTCACCCCCTGTCACTCTCCTCAATATCTGCTCAGATGAAATACATATGAGCTGCCAATCACTCATACATACAAATAGACACACAGGAGCACACACGCACAATCTATCTCTCAATCATATGCATGCAAACTTTCAGTTACTATTTCTGTCTTTGGAAGTCACAGGTGCGTACACACAAAGGCTCATCTTTTAATATATTGAAAACCCAAATACGGACTATTTTGCTTTTTTAAAAGCAACAGCTATGGAATACCAGGACTTGAGATCCCAGTATTTCACAGAGGATTCAACTTCTGTTTGGTTGGTATCTTATTACCATTGCCTTATTTTCCACCTCAGAGATGGTGTGCTTTTAAGGTTAAGTATTCTACCAAAACCATAGCCACATAATCTAGTATATATGAAAAATAACATCAGAAAATTACACTAACACAGAAAAAGGACTACACATGTAGTAAAGTTAGAATACAAACTAATTAGCTTATGATTATGCATGCATCAATATCAAGAAACTCATCTACATTTAATGTTTTAGGGATGCTGTGCGTTTGCAGAATATACTGTAACATAACAGCTGGGTGAGGAATCCATGGCGACAGATGTTTCTCGTACAGAAGTGCATTTCCCAGTTTGCAAGCTTATTTAGACCCCGCCACCTCCCTTTTTACTGAGAGCAGGATGTGACAGGGTGACACTCTGTGAAGTGGTAGTGGGACCAGTTTGGGAAATGGTCATGGTCTTAGTGGAGTCAGCCCGAGGAACACTATACAACATGGGTTGGAGTAGCAGTGCACACCTTCTAAAATCATTCTTTGTCTTTGTCACGTGTGGATAAAAACAGCACTTATTTATATTTTTCATTAGGGGAAACTTCTTCAGTGGTATTATATTGTTTTCTAATGACAATAACCTTCTCTTAATTACTTTGTGTTGTGCTGACATTAAAAAAAACTGTTATTTAAAAACCTTTTTCCTTTTAATGAATCAATAACCTAGATACGAAAGTTTTATAAACTCAGTTTCAAAGCTTTTTTTTTAAAACAGCATTGGTTCGGTCCTTCATGAAAACATTTCCTAGTATGCCTATTGCCTTTTGATATTTCATTTGGACTGTAAAAGCTTTTTTATGTTCTTGAACGTTACTCAGCACTACTCGTGTACGGATGTGTTTCTTTCTCTCTGTGATGCTTAAACAGGGTGTACTAGTGATCATGGTCAATGTTAACAAAAAGAGAAGGAGTGAAGAAGTGGACGAGAGTAGAAGGAAGTAAGAGAAAAAAAATAGCTGAAGCCAAACAAAGACCAAGAGGTAATGGGAGATGACAGTGGTTTGTGACAGCTGGAGTCTTGTACATTAAAAGAACAAGGAAATTCACTTTCCTTTCTTTAGCTCTATTTAGAGCGCTCACTCTGTTCTCCACACGCAGACACACACACACACCTTATTCACCACAAGTCTCAGCAGCAACTAGACCCTTAGACAACCTTTGTCTGTAAGAGAGCCAATATCTCCCCTCACTGAGCAGTGGAGAGGAGACAGAGGAACAGCCCATGAGAGAGAAAAGGAGGTGGAGGAGAGAGAGAGAGAGAGAGAGAGAGAGAGAGAGAAGAGAGAGGTCACATTTTAATGGGAGGAGCTGGGTTCAAGGCCCCTTCTTGGCAGGCATCCGCCCTCTCAAGTGTCCTTGGACACGACGGTGAATCCCTACCCAATAGTGTACTTATACCGGAGCTGACACCGACCTCTGACCTTTTACCTTCTAGTGTAAGCGAGAAAGAAACAACAACAGCCTTTGTGTTTAAGCTGTACAGGAACAGAAACGTTAAGGTGGAAGTTTCATGAAGGAACTATTTCTTAATTGGTGAACAGCCGGCAGACGCCATGCCTGTCACCGAGGTTGAGACTAAAACCTTTGCTCTCCTACTGCATCCGGCATCCTGTCTTATAGCGACATGGATGTACAGAGCAAATCAAAAAAGAGAAGAAAAATCAAGAAAACTATTCAACACACAACCACTCCTAAAATTACATTTCTGTTCATCTGCAGATAAAAAAAAGTTTGATATTTTGGTAAATGTGCTTAGTCACTTTTTTGCCAAGAGTTGGATTGATACCACCCTATGTCTGTATGCTAAATATGAGAATCACTGCTGGTTGCCAGGCAACTGGTTTTAAGGAGGCATTTAACAGCAATTTGGTGTTTTTAAACTTCATTTTTTTTTTGCTAATTGAACAAACAGCACACAGTGTGTTAATTAGAGCTTAAGAGGTGTTTGTTGGTGGAATTTGTTAACTATAAAGAGTTCCCATTCTAACTGATTCCTCCTGTTTCCAGTGTTTGTCCTAAGCTAAGTCAGCCAGCTGCTGCCGTTAGTATCTTATTTACCACATGGACACGAGAGTGGCCTCAATCTTCTCATCTCAGCAAGAAAGAGAAAACAGATATTTCTCAATGTGGAACTTTTAAATGAGATGTTGAACTATTCCTTTTTCAAAAAAGCAACAGGGATAAACGTTTAAAAAGCAAGACAATAAAGAACGGAGGTGTGAATGACCGAAAGACAGCGAACAACAACATGAGGAGGGAGAAGGATAAAAGTATGAGAAAGAGTGCCTTTCACTTCCTCCATCTTACCCCAACCCTTTATAAACAACCAATACTTTCTAAATTTTAAACTTCAGGTTCTAAACATTTATTGTGCGCCAGCGGAGAGGCGACGGGATGCCCATGAAGTATTGTTGTCTTACATGAATGCTGTGTGTTTTGTTTATGGTGTGCTATAGCTTTAAGAGCTGCTGGCCATAGCCCATCCCAGAGAGGATGGACCCATTAGGCTGATGAACAGAAAGAGAGAGAAAGAGAGAGAGAGAGAGAGAAAGAAAGAGAGAAAGAGAGAGAGAGAGAGAGAGAGAAAGAGAGAGAGAGACAGAGAGAGAGAGGTTATACAGTCAAAAGGATAACAACAGTGAGAGAAGTAAAGAAAGGAATTCCATTTGGAATAAGGGAGTTTGACGAGTAGCAAGGAAACAGCAAAGGAGAGAGAAAAGGCCACTCAAGGGACCACAGTAGTGAGAGGAGATAGAGAGACACTGAGAGATACAGAGAGAGGACAGGAAGCAGCTATCTCTCCATCTCCTCCATGGTGTTGTAGGCGTCTATGGGTCTGTCAGTCAATCGGGACGACAGGCGGACACACTCACTCGCCGGCTCTCTTGTCTCTCGCACACGCTCACACTGATGACTTTGCTGTGTGTGTGTCTACAGATGGCAAACCTTGTGACATCGTTGTGCTGTGTAGTTCTGGCCGCAGTGGTGGTAGCCTACGCGCAGAGACGCAGTCAGCTTGGTGAGTATGCATTTTATCTTCTCCTTCATTACATTGTACCTCTTTCCTGCAGAGGCCTGCTCTGCTTCTTCTCGTTTTTATCCTTTGTGGTCGAACCCCGCCGCGCTCCTCTGTATTCTCAAAAAGTAAATACTGTTTCACTCTGTTTTCTTCTCTCAACTTTCCTGTACTCCACTCTGCTCTTCTTTGCCCTTCTCTTAATGTATTATTTCTGCCCTCCTCTCTTCTAGTCTTGCTGCACTCCACTCTATGTAGTGCTACTGATGCTCCACTCTTTTCCACCTCTCTCAACTCTGTCCTACTCCACTTAAAGGATTTCACCTCGTCTGTGCTCAAAGCTACCGGCCTTCCTTTTATGCATAAACTTTATTTTATGCTGCTTGATTTGCTGTAAAAATGCTTTTTCTTTTGTTTTTGTTGTTGATTGTGATATAGTTGAGCACTTCTGGACTTACTGTGTGTGCTGGATGTTAGCTGTGTGTCCTTTGGCCAGTTTGAGCTACAGTAGCTGGTTAGTTGATAGCTGTGAGAAAGCTTAAGTGTATTTTACTTTTCCTCTCTCTCAGAAAGAGAAACAATAGCTGACCAAATCATCCCTCACTGCCTGGTGCTAATAGTTTGTTGTTAAGTAAGTTGGCCACATTACCAACAGGGCTGCAGCGGCAGGTAAACTCAAATTAATGCCATTTATGCATCTTTTTGAATAAAAAATAGTGCTTAAATGCCTGTTTATGATGCTTTACTCATGTGCCATTGCACAATTTTTTAAAGTTTCAACTCCTCCAATGTCATTGCCTGGCACACGCCCCCTGGTTCCTTCTTCCTCTCCTCTCCTCTCCTCTCCTCTCCTCTCTCCTTAGCGGACCGCGTCGGTGCTCGCAGGTTAATGACATTGAAGTTCTGCGGCATGCACAGGCAGGAAAACTTGTCATTTTTTCCAGCCGTCCTCCAAAAGACACACTGCTAGAGGCTTGCCAAAGTAAATAGTGGTTGCTTAACGCATACATATGCCCACCACTAGTTGTTATCAGCACCTGGTCACTGCGACACAGGTCAGCAAATGAAAAAAGGACTATGCACTGTAATTTAGCAGCAGCACAGCAAGGAAGCCAACAGGTAGCACTCTGAAATATTGGCACACTGAGGTTAATGGGCTTAGTGGCCAGGACTTTTTTTATTTTGTGTGATTTGTTTTTTCAGTTTGTGGACAGTTTGAAAAGTCTTATAAGTAGCTTTGACAGTTAACATTTGAAATTGAATAAATTAATTAATATGATATTGAATATTGATTGCATAATAATAATAATAATAATAATAATAATAATAATGATAAAAAAATATAATAATAATAATAGTAATAATAATAGAGGTATATGATTTGGGTTCAGCACTTATTCTTGTATATCTAGTCCTGTAAATGGGCAACTGAAGTTTTTAGTTTGCACATTTTTATTTATTTCTTATTTTTGCCACTTCAGCCCTGATTACCGAGGCTACCTCCATAATAAATACTGGTTGAACAAAGAAGCCAGTCAGGTCAACTGGTGATCATGAGCGTGTTTCAAATGATTTGTGTATCGAGGTTTTTAAGGGGAAAAGAACTTGAAGAGACCAACATAATGCAATGACTGCTCTTCTGAGAGTTCACACAAGATGCATGACCATAAATTAGACCGTGTGTAAATGGTGTATGTAAGTGTGTGTGTGTGTGTGTGTGTGTGTGTGTGTGTGTGTGTGTGTGTGTGTTTAACAGGGGAGTCAATTTGTCACTTGACTTTTAGTGAAGTATGGCCATGGCTTATTAGCCAATGAAGTCGGACTGTTTAAGTCAGCTGACCCAAAGGAAGAGTCTGGGGAAGTCAATAAGTCCCCAGTGACGCACATCACTGTGTCACGAGGGTCATGCACACACAGGCGTGCACACACGCGCACACACACACACACACACACACGCACACAGACGCGCACACACACACACACACACACACACACAGACAGAGCAGAAATGTCTTAGGAAATAGGAATGTTGTCTTTGGGGATTTGATGAACAGCAGAGAAGGTAAGTGAAAGAGACACAACTCTGTGTAAAGAAAAAGCAGGGTTTTCACTCTCTACACATACAGTGTCCTCAAATAATTGTGAAAAATGTTTTTTCTTTAAAATAAATAAAGCAGTTATTAGCTATGATAGGATCGGATGCCCCTTTTTTTATTTCTATACAACTTATATCTTTACAGACCAAATAATTGAAAATCAAGCTAAACTTGTTAGAACCAATGGACTTCGCTGTATATATTTTTAAGATTTCTTTCAATATAAGATTAAACTGTATTATACTGATCAATCCTCATCTATTTTTGTGCTGTTCAGAAAAGCTGAAAGAAATTATGCTAGAGAGAGCAAGTAAAGAGAGTAAAATGTGAAAGGGGAACACTTAAGGGAATAACAGATATGGATAGAGGGAGGAATGAATAACATGGATAGAAGAAAGAGAGCTGTCAGTTCTGTCAGGTGTGTGTGTGTGTGTGTGTGTGTGTGTGTGTGTGTGTGTGTGTGTGTGTGTGTGTGTGTGTGTGTGTGTGTGTGTGTGTGTGTGTCTGTCTGTGTGTGTGTCTGTGTGTGTCTGTGTTGACCAGTAGTGTAACTTTTACTGTGAACCACTTGCCTTTGTTTTTCGTACTGCCATGTGCATGCACACATACACACAACATTAAAGTACCTATACACACACACTGTGACACACAAATACCTTTTATTATATATGTAGAGAGAGAGAGAGAACACATATGCATAACCACATGTCAGCAATAGTATGGCCATTTGCAGCCATCATTTTGCGCGCACACATACACAGTATACGCACGATTATACTTCCACAGAGACTCATATATACATCTGTCTGTCTTGGAAAGAGCCTTGTTTCTCTGACAAATTGCTAGCCAGTGTGATTGACAGGATTCCCTGGGGTATGCACCTCTTGGAAGAGAGTGTGTGCACATACAGGCACAGTACAATACAAGTGTGCACACACATACACAGTGAAACCTAACTAGAGAGTTCATCCCCCATTCTTTCCCTCTACATTGACTCAATTTGTACAAAATGCACATACAGAGGAGGACACACACAGTCTTTCTGTGCACTTGTGCATGTGTGTGACAGGGAGTGTATGGGAAATCCATTTGAGATTCCATAATTAATGACAGCAGTGCATTGCTGCACAAAGACAATGAAAATCACTGGTAGCCACAGACTGAGTCAAACAAATAGATACATGCCCCACATATAAAGAAGTCAATGCTGTCAGAAAGGGGCAGAGATGGAAAGTAAAAGACAGACAGGAAGGGAATGATACAAGGATGAGTTCTAGTAGAGAACAAAAATATTGTGTGTGAAATAGCATTAGACAGAACACATTCATGAAGAAATACCATATTAAGAATGAATATTAAGAAAGCTGTTATCCCTTTGTGTCAAATAAATGTTGACATATCCCATCCCCTTTCATTCAAATATTAATTTAAAGATAAAAACATAAAAGCTAAATATTGCAATAATCCAAATACCACTAGATTATCTTGGACAACATTATCAAAACCACAGGACCTAAACCCAGGAGACAACTGTTTGTGCTCCGTGTGAAAAGTAAGGTCTGTCAACCTTTACCAAACCTAAAGAAGAAGTAAACTGCGACAGTTTCACAACATCAATCCACCAAGATTTATTTTGAAAGTGTAACCAGATATATTTGACAAGTTGGGAGTGGGAACGTGTTGTTTGTTTACAAGTGTGTTGCATCCTTTCTTCAAAACTTTTCCCTCCAAGTAGAATAACTTTTTTTTTCTTTCTGATACTGCAGAAAGTTTGTTGAATGTGCCATTGTCATTCAGCTTTTGTAATGCGATTCATGTTGACTCAAATAAAAAATAACTCTGAGATGGAAGCCCTAGCAACGGAAATGACAGTCCCTTAATGAAACATCACTTAAAACAGCAGAGGAAAAAGAAAATAATTGAAAGCTATAAACCCGCAGAGAGAAAGGGAGTAAGACGCAGAGGTCATGCCAATTAAGCTTCCTTGAATGTGAATTTGATTTTTGATTGCCAGTGAAAAATAGATAATGAGATGGTTAGAGAGGAATGGGAACGATATTGGGTGGGTGGAAAAGACACAAGACAGATATGGGGAAAGACACGAGAGAATACAGAACAGATGACAGATGAAGAGACAAGAGAGTGAGAGAGCGTGGGAGACACGGAGTCAGAGAGGGGCAATGCTGATAACAGTCAGTTATTCAGACAGTTTTTTATGGTATATTACACGTAATCCTTGTTATCCATATGAAGCAGTAAAGCATTGCTTTAGTTCCAGAATAAACATCAGTGCATCAGTACCGTCACCACCAGTACAAACCAATAGCAGTGCAACCGTTAACATGAATTTCCTGGAATATTTACAGGTTGAAGCATCTGTGTTAACTCCGAACTCCTTTAGTAAGGTGCTGAATTTCAACTAGTACCATACATGCTGTGTTGCTCTGCTGACCCTGACCTCTGAACCTCCCTGTGGTTGAGGAGGAGGAGGAGAGAAAAATTCCTTCAAGGATCAATAACATCATTTTTATTCATTAGTATAAGATTGCACTGCCAGTAGAACAAAAGTTCATGAAAAATACATGTTTTTAATGCAAACCCATAGGCTGTATCGTCTTGTGGTAACGAGCAGTGAACAGTATTTGATGTGGTCCGGCCTGGAGTAATCAGTGTAATCACATTGTTTGACATTATATTGTCGATAAGACCAAACTACTGCATTATATGCATTAGAATGTTTTTCAACATCGTCATCATTTTAGCTCTTAAGAAAAAAAGGTTTCAATAACCTTGCAATAGCTTCACAAGGAACACATCTGTTACCCAGCACTGCTTTTATTGCTTCATTAAACTTGTTAAAACAATCTTTATCCGTCTATCCATCCATCCATCCATAGACAGACAGAC